TGCATTTCAAGAAACGAAGCCATAACAGAGCACCCTTTCGACCTCAGCGCATTAGAAGCTTCACTAAACGGATAATAAGCATCCCTTACCTCCATCGCCTCGTTCGGGTTCTTCGGGGCCAAGCATCCAAGATTCTTGGGGGTGTAGCTCCGAAGAGGACCCAAAATCCGGAAATGCGGGTCCAAGAACCTGTCAATTCCGAAAATTATCAACGACCCATCATCGAAAATTGGGGAAACAGTGATGGGGACGTTGTTGAGTGAGACTCTGGGGTCGTAGGCCAAAGTGGTCACGGAGAGAGAGTGGTCAGAGAGTAAAGTTGAGATCTTGGCGCCGAAAGGCAGGGACTTGAGGGATCGGAGAGAGAAATAAAGGGGGATGATGTGGAATTGCAGGAGGTTCAGCGGTGGCTGACCGGAGTGAGAGAAGGCGGCGTCGGTGGGGGCGAAGATGGTGAGAGAAGGAGACTGGGAGAGGAGGAGGGTTTGAGAGGCGAGGTCGAGGGTCAGAGCCATGGAGGTGTAGCCGAAATCTGAGAGGATTTCGGCGGCGTTGACGAGGGTTTGGGTGGGGAGGGCGGAGGAGAGAGAGAGAACTGAGAGGACAATGAAAGAGAGAAGGAGTTGGGCTGCCGCCATTGTTGGAGGTTGTTCTTCGTTTCTTGGAGTTTGGAGAGGGGTTTGGTTTTGCAAATGAGTCTGGGTGTAGTTGCAGATTCAGAGAGTATCTGAACTTGTAAGGGGAAGGTTGTTTTTGGCGGGTTAAGATTTGACACGTGGACGTGTGGGATTTGCTCTGGTGGGAGGGAATTGAAAAGTTAGTTAAGGGAGTTAAGGAGTTAGTTTGTTTAATTCAGATCGCCAAGGCCCACGATGGCCCATGATGGCACTAAGTAATAAGAAGAATAAAAAAGAGATGAGCTGGGCTCATAAGAAAAAAAGGCCAAGGCCCATGATGATTTTAATTCAGATCGGCCTTAGATAGCCTTTCCGGCCTATCCAAACGAAGATGAGCTGGGCTCATAAGCCTTGAACACAAATGAAGATGCGACAAAGAAGCTTAGTCAATCCAACAGGCTAGCCCAGTAGAAAATGGGCTTGATTTGCAGACTAGAAGTGTTATGTTTGAATCTTCACGGCATCTTAGTTATATGTGTGTGAAACCTCCTCTTCTCTAGTTTAGACTATCGCTTGTCCTATAATAAAAAAAAATCTAGTCAAATAAGAGCAATTGAAGGAAAATGTTGTCTTTATGGAATTATGCAAATTGCTTCGAGGCCACTCGAAAGAGAATGGTAAATTGGCCAACGTTATTAGTGTTTTTATATTGTAGTTAATGAGCTGTTTTAGAAGGTCGCACAAGCAACAAATTATAGTATTTTAGTCGCTATGCTTTGCTTTGACTTCCCCACGTAGGGTTTCTTGTAGCGATATTTTCTACTAAATTATATAAATTAATTCATGCAATTTTCTTTCTCAATTGATTATGAGAATTGCAGTTAGTAATCCACGTCATGCATGTACTGTATCTTTTTTTATTTTTATGGATTGAAATGTAGTGTGTATGTTACAACTTACATGCATGTCTGGCCAAAAAAAAATGTGTTGCATGCATGTACTTATTTGGTGACTAATTCAACGCAATATTAAATTATGTCATTTGAATTTTCAACGTTTCAAATGGGGCTTTTGAAACTACATTAATTGTATATGCAAATATGTGTATGGTTTTTTGAGTGAGCCTAGTATCATATCAGATGGAGCTTGTGATGATCTCATCGAATCAGATGAAAACGAGTGGCGATCAAGGTAAAGTTTCTTACACGAATTAAAGATTGATGTTATTGAAATTACTTGTAAGAATATATTTTTAGTGACAGTAACACAACGACGTTTACCAAAACCCCAAGAAACTCGCCTACACACATATCATCACTTCCGATTTGCATGACCTTCCAGTAAATTTCCAAAATTATGTGACCTTCTATACTTCATTTCGATTTTGCTATTGACCAGTCAAACTGTTGTTTATTAAAACCAGCACTCAACTACATGTCTATTTCATCAATACAATTAAACACACAAACCAGCAGGCAAATATATATATATATATATGTATATGTATGAATAATATACAATTGAATGTATAGAATCATAGGCTGATCAATCAAGAATCTGAAAACAGACGGCTGGAATGAAATGATTGGATGGTTTTTATATTTTTATTTTTTAGGAAGATGCCAAGTTGTTGAAAGATTCATGAAAGCCAACTCATTAGTAGTACGTACTTGGTTTTGTTGCTGTCACGATGATGATGACCGGCGCTTCAAATCAAACAGCGGGGAAATTTGCTCAAATTAATATCTTTTTTCAGGGTGTAGACAATCTGTAAAGTTGGTGCAGCTTGTGGTTAGACTTTCTCGTCGTTTACACATATGGTGACTTTTAGTTGTCCTTCATTTAAGGGTTTGAGGAGCCCTACATGCAAAGTTATGATCCTAAGAAGTCTCGGGTGGGGGAGGTCCGACCACATCATGATCACTCTCACAATGAAGAAGGACCCCGTACATTTGGGGTGGGACCAATGTAGGGCCGAGAAAGCTCTTATTACAGTGATGCACATAAATGATATGATTGAACCGCCTCACTTAAGACTCCATGATCATATGAAAAATATCACGATTTTTAGCTAAGTCTAGCTAGCATCTAGCCTCCTACATAATAATTGAACACCTTTTTTTCCTGCCGATCCAAAGTTACTTGTTCTCATGCTTGTATCTATTAAATTTACATTCTTTGTTGTTCCAAAATTGTTGTTCTAATTCAAAAGAGGAGTAAAAGACAAACTGATGAATGAAATATTTCCGGAATAGTACACTTCTTTTTGGAAATTTGAAGAAGCCCATGCTTGGTGGGGTGCCAATAATTATCAATGCATGTTGACTCATGCTACTCATGAACTATATAACATAATTGTAGAAAATGACATGCAAATCACAGATGAATTATGAGCTAGAGCTAGCTAGGTGTCAAGGCATGCAAACCATGAAAATTTCCCGAGTAGATGCTATATAGCTAGCCAAAGGAGACGTAGACCAGAACTCGATATGGGCTCAGACCGAAAAAGTAGCTTTCTTCTAGCGATGTTTCACCTAATCTCTTGAATAATTGGACCCATAACATAAATTCCATCGTTTTCTGCTCAACCTCAAGAACCATACAAACTTCAGATTTTTGCATAACATATTTATTGTGCCCTGTTTTCTCATTCCTTATTGACTTGAAATGGGTTTGTGATTCATGAGTCATTATAGAATATTAGAATAATATAGTCGGACGGTATATTTTGTATATATGTTACAATAATATAAGTAGATATTATTGATACTATTCTTTAAAAGAGAAAAAAATACTCAATTGTCCACTCATACATTATAACACCTGTATAAAATATACCACATAACGGTAACACTATAGTATTCCATAATTTTTCGTGATTCACGCATGAAATGAAAATATCCGTGTGAAATTATGACATTTTCAACTCATGATTCAGTTCAGACAATGCAGTACCGCGTATGATTGGGAAAAACGTGGGCTGAGCAACACTTTCATTTCATCCTAGCAAATGGTGCAGGACAGATGGGCTCAGTATCATTCAATTGTTTATTCCTTCAAAACCTGTGTCAGTGAGAACCATCACCGTCATACGGCAAATAATTGAAACAAGTTCCTCACCGGAAGCTGCTTAAATATATATATATATGTATAGTCTCTATGGAGAGATTCCTCAAATAAAATTATTTGATGGACACATTTTAGGGTATCTTTTGAATTTATTTTCAACTTGTTTTTTAAATCTATATTCATAAATCATAATTTCAAAAAATAGACAAATCGGAAACTGTTTCGACATCTAATTGTGTTATATAAAATCAATGAATACGGTGCTTCAAGAAAATACTAAAATTTCAAGAACTCAATTGAATGGTCAAATCATATCATATTTAAGTGATTTTTTGTAGAGATAATTTTTGAATGAGTATCTACAAAATAGACGGTTTTGATTAATTAAATACAATCTGAAGTAGGCCCTATAAAGGATGTCCCTTAAATAAACTTATTTAAGGAAGAGTGGTGATTTCCCCACTCCTTTTTCTCCTATTTTATCCACTTACACTCCTTTTTTATAACTAAAAAAAGAGTGTAAGTGGATAAAATAGGAGTGGGGAAATCATTGCCCTTAAGGAATTCCCCAATGAAAGTTCTTTGTATATATATATATATATTCATCACTAAAGGGAAAAATAAAAATAAAATAAAGAAAGCACCAAGGAAGAAGTGACCTTGATTTCAAGAAAATTAACTAAACAAATATTACTTGGTTTTGATTAATGATTTGGATGCGCGTAAACCAAGGTGCATGTTTGGGCATACACATAACTAAAAAAATGATTGCTACAGTTATTTATTTTTTTCTTTTTTTGTGTGGCAACATTTGTGCATGATTTGTTTCTTACTTTCTTTTAGGTGGCAAAAATTGATAGTAGGCCACTGGATTGAACAGAACAGTTCCCTTTTCTTTGGGCTCAAGAAAGCAGCAAGATGACAGCTTCCCACTAAGCTGTCAGATGCACATAACCAATGAGGCCAGAGCAGCTTCTGG